CATTTATTTTTAGGATGAAAACACCGAGTTGAGTATTTTCATAAGCTTAAAAAATAATCCAAGGCGTGTATGAGTTCTCATGGAATGATAGTTGTACGAGCAACTGTACGCGAAGCACTATCGTCTTCAAGGATATTCTAATTTTTAACCGTAGATCTTCTTCACATTGAAATTGCAAATAATTCTCATTTCATTTGAGATAACCTTCATTCATTACGAATTGATACTGATACAAATCATTTAATCAAATCGACAAGTAAAGTAAGATCTCTTGTTTATTTAAAAGTAGTTACTAAACTATATACAACAATGCAAACATCTTCTAAACCACTAAATGTCTACCACCATAAATGTAAATCACGATTAATAAATCTAATAAAATAATCATTAAGTAAATTTTCTGATTGAATTAAAATCTTTAATTCTTTTAAACATATTTTGGGTACTTCTGAAATACATAATGAGAATAAATGTTGTGCTCTTTTATTTGTTTTCAATACTAAATATTTCGTTATTAGTCCAATTTCTTTTCGTTTCATACGGGTTTTAAGATATTCTAATTGTGGAAATAATTTAATAATCAATTGCATTTGATTTAATGTACACAATTGACGAATATCTAAATAGTTTATTTTATTTGTCTTTGATATATATTGAAAATGTTCACTTTGTTTAATCAATTGTAGATCTGTTTCCTTCATAGGTAGTAAACCTAATCTTAATTCACATAAATTCGGTGTACAACGTAATAATTTCACAATCTCTTCAAATGGAAAATCATTGGATCCAATTGATAATTTCTTCAATTGCTCTAAAGGCATTATACGATTAAGAGTTGTTATAATTGAAACATCAGATGTTTGAAAATAATTTTGAATAGTCAATTGAGTAACATTTGGAAAATAATTTAAACAAATATTTTTTATTTGTTTACTACAAATCAAAACATGTTGAACTGAATGCAAATTCATTTCTTGAAAATTTGAACAATTTTCTTCATCGATTTCCCAATGAAATTCATAATCTTTTCGTCTAAAAGCAAAAAACTCATGTGTATTCTACCATAAATATTCGATTAGCATTTTGAGTCGTACAAATCCATAACGAAGATTGCCTTGAATTTTATTCAGTAGAAAAAAGAAATCTCCACAAAATCGGACATGAGAAGTCTTTATTCGATATGGCGATCATCTTTTTAACCTTTATGATTACGCTTGGATGTTTTTTCTTTCGACTAATGAAGATTTTCGAAACTAAGCTCTCCTCCGGATATTCTCAATTATCATATGGAAAGACACATCATGAAATTTTGAAGAAAATGGTCGAGGCGTTAAACTAATTTACTGTCCAGAACTACACCCAAAAAAAAATGCAAAATCCTTTAGCGAAAAACCGAAAAGAACATTTTTTTATAGAGAATTCAACGAAAGACTCAACATAAACAAAGCGAAGATTTATTATGGTATATTCGTTTATGCTTACCGATATGGATCTGTTGAATAAAAAATGCCAGCATTTAAACGTTTCCTCCAATCATGTTGATGTGTAAAAAACCAATTTTTTTTAATCCAAAACGATGAATTAAATTGTTCTGTCACATCATGATATGTTAAATTATTATCTAACGTATAATTTCGATGATTGATATCAAATATACGTAAATATGGCATATAAGATCCAATTACATTTTCCCAACGTTTAGCATTTAAATAAGCTTGATCATTGTTTGTTGTAAGACGTAAAATTTCAATGTAATAAAAGAAGGTTTTAAAAATTTTTTCAACTTCATCAAAACAAATACGATCGAATTCAAGCGAAACATGTTTTAAATATTTTAATTTAATTGGTAATAAATCTTTTGTTTCAATATAACCATAATTATGACCAAGATGATTAATCAATAAATAACGAAGTTTAGGAAGACAACATAATAAACTATTCAATGATTCAAATGCAAAACGACCATGTATTATTAAATATTCAATTGTATTAGAATTATATTTACTCAAATACATAAGAGATGGATAGCACAAAGGTTTCGTTTCATATACAATTTTACAATATTTTAATTTCCATAAATGAAATAGATTAGAAAAAAAACTATCCAATGATTGAATATAATCACCAAATGATATAGTTATTGAATGAAATTTCGGTAATTGCTTTAAAAAAAATGAAATTTTATCGAAAAATTTCATTCCTATTTTATCAAGAATTAATATTTCAAGACGATTAAATTGTAACATCATACGTGGTGGTGAAAATATAATCTCGGCAATAAATGGATTTGATAAGCGAAGTAATTTTATTCGATGGCTATATGGTTTAAGAATATTGTGATAATAATTTTCAAAATCATTTTTCGATATGTTAGAAAGATTTATTTGACGTAAAAAATTTGAATAAATTAATAAATTTTTAAAACGTCGATTAAGATTGAAAAAACCTTTGTAGATATCATGTACATCAAGATATTCAAATATTTCATAAAAAATTTCATTTGCTAAATCTTCGACAACGAATCTAAATAAAATCGAATAAGAAGAATGTAATGATAAAATTAAAATATGTTCACTTGTTTCGATCGATTGTGGTTACTTGAAGAAAAAACAACAACAAGAAAGAAAATTGTTCGATTTTGTTAAATATAAACATTGAAACATTACTTTCATTTTGTAATTTTTGTTTTTTATAATTAGTGGAATTTTGAACATTGTCGTCGTCAACTGGTCGTTTTGTTCGTTGCATGTCGTCGATAGATGAATAAATATGAAAATGATCGAAAAAAGAAAATCGATGTATACCCAGTGTTTCTAATGGAACGATGACTCAGAGTGTACAAACAAAGGATCTTCTTTGTTTTGCAAAGTGTACAAAGTGTACAGACAATGGGTGTACACTTGGGATTAGAAACACTGCTTCTCTGTACACACTGGAAAGACAATGAATTTTATGATTTTCTTCTTAGGCCCCGAACACACCAAAAATAGAGCAATTTAATCTTTGTTTTAAGTCAGCGCGCGTCCACACATAACGGTTAATCCAGTAATCAAAATTGAGCATAGCCTCTATAATGTAGTGAAAAAAATGTATACGGTACACTTTCGAGTTCTAAAAAAATTATTTTTATGTGTTAGATCGACAACGGTTTGGAAACTCACAATCTGTAGAATATCCAACAAAACTAGTGTACTATTATTTTATAATAATTAATTTTTTCGAGCGACATCACATTTATTCATCTATATATCCATATATATCTTCCATTGTTCAATCAGGCTATTAAGTGATTGGAGCATTAAGAGTTGAATTAAGTTAAATCGTCTCAAAAAGATGATTTATCTCTGTTTTAACGTTCTAGCCATTCTATTGTTTAATTCAGTTTTAACTTGTTTGGTCTGTTCGGGGCCTTAGGGTGTGTGAGTGGGTGAGGGTGTGTGTGGGTGGGGTGTGAGCGAGGGTGTGTGTGGGTGGGGTGTGGGTGTGGTTGTGAGTGTCCTTTTCTTCATCTACAGTCAACCACACCCACACCCCGTATAGTTGCAGTGACTAACCAGTGCGAAACTGAAGAGAAATTTCTAGAACATAGAAATTAGTTTGTCGCATTATGATCAGAGAGGATTATAGATTCTGTGTACAGCTGTTTGGAAAAAAATCTTGGGGAGGGGGGCTCAGCTCCCGCTAGCCCCCCCTCCCCCCCCCCCCCCCCCGTGGCGCCGCCACTAGATAGTATCTATTTCAGAATAAAATTTTGCCCTCCTCAGCATGACTTTCTAATTGAGCGATCTACTTTCTCGACACATGTCACAGTTTTGTTTTGAGGATGGTGTTGAGAAATCCGTGTATAATCTATTGTAACTTTTAGTGGGTTCCTCGTGTTATCGTGTTCAAGCGCACTAATGCATCTGAAATGCTGAAATGCCTTTTTACAGCAAAATAATAATATCCTCCTTTTTTCTTCCTTTTCTAACGCCTATCCGCCAAAAAGTTTCTTCCGAAAATCCTCCTGAACCCTTCTTTTCTTCAAATGGTCGTTCACATGACAGCTTTTACCTTGTCTTTTCTTTTTATTGATAAGGCTTTGCAAAGTTTATGACACAGTTGCATTGCAAACCTTTATTTTCTTTATGAGTCAAACAATTACCAGAATTAAATTTTGTAGATGAAGTCGCAAAGAAAATGATTTCTATCTTTTTATTTATATTAGTAGCAAATATTTACATCCAAGGAAATAGTTAATATCAAAAATAATAGATTATGACATCCAAAATGATGTAAAAAAGGGTGTGGGTGGGTGCGTGTGGGTCTGTGGGTGTGGATGTGGGTGGGTGTGGGTGTGAGGGTGTGAGTTCAGATATTTCCTCCATTCATACCTGCACCCATACCCACACACCCACACCCATACCCACACCCACATCCACACTCACACTCACACCCACACCCACACCCGTAATCTTCCTGAAGAAGTGTTTCTAGTTGCACTCAATCCAAGTAAACGTAGTGTCCATAATGTAACATTCCAGCATATGATGCAAGTACATGTTTTTATCGACCGTAATCACAACATTAAGGTATGATGTATCATAATTGCTAAGCAAAGTTTTAATACCAACGACTGTAATTTGAAATACAGTTGAGTAATGTTTAGAGCCCTTTGCTTGAATGACATTCTCTCCGGCACTATATTGAATATCTCTCCATTGCTATATCCACTCTTTTTTGGTTGTTTTCTGTATGTGAGTATATCTAACAGTGTGAGTTAGTGAAAAGAAGAGATGTGTTCTGTTATGGACTCTGACATCACATTCCATCCTTGTAAATACTCCTCGTTTGTCTTGTCGTCAAGTTTTCTGTGCTTCAGATAAGCTGGAGTAAGTGTGTGTAAGTGATTTCATCGCATCCACATCCTGCTTCGTATCAAGCCAGACAATTGCTTTCCCACATAATAATCAAAATGACAAAATGTACCTTTAAAAAATATAACTGTCGAAATGTATATTAAGTCGTTTGTGGCTGAGATTACTTTTTAAACAAGTTTTTCAAAACGATGAAACGACGGGTGTTGATGTGGACCTTGTTCTTCTGTTAATCGACATCCACATTCATATACCCAAGCAAGATTCACAACATCTTAGTATATATATATATTCGGTTTTTATTGGCATATATTAATTCTATTCTCCATGTAGTCACACATAGAAAAATGCCACGAGTATATTGACTACCTACCAGAGATGTCCATCGCGGCTGAAAATCTGCCGCTGCCGCGCCGCGGCCTTAGAAAAAAAAAGCTGCCGCACCGCTGCCGCGCCGCGACGGTTTATAAAAAAATGTTGCCGCGACGCTGCCGCACCGCGATGACTTATAAAAGAAACGCTGCCGCGATGAATTATAAAATAAACGTGCCGCCACCGCGCCGCTGCCGCGACGATTTTCAAAAAAGTGTTTCTAATTTCACTGCTGTGACTATATTTGACCAGAGATATGGGTACTAGTCCATCAGATTTATTCGATATCAGGACATTTCATTTGTAAATCGTGAAATTCTATTAAATTCATACAGTTTTTCAATGTCCTCCAAAAAAATCCTGCCGCTGCCGCGATGGCTTTTTAAAAAACCTGCCGCTGCCGCGATGACTTTTAAAAAAATCTGCCGCTACCGCGCCGCTGCCGCGGTGATTTTTTTTAAAAACCTGCCGCTGCCGCGCCGCCACCGCCACCGCGGCAGCGGCGCGGCAGCGGCAGCGGCAGCGGCAGCGCCGCGATGGACATCTCTGCTACCTACACTTTCAGAATGCGACAAAAAAAGGAGAGAATCAAACCGATTTGTGTGTCGGTTTTTTTAATTTTCTATTCAACGTCATTAACTTAAGACAAGAGAAAAGAGTAACCAATAAAAAACCTTACACGTGATACTTTATCAAAAGAAAGAAAAAAAAATATTACAGAAGCTATCGGTAGAAATCCGAAGCATGTTCGTCTACGTTTTATCGAAGACATTCAAAAAATAAAAGAATAAAACACAACAAGAAACACAAAATTGTTGTTTTCCAATAGCTCTGACCATGGAAGCGTCTTTATACGAAGCTATTCATGACGAGGTATCTCTGGATAAGGTTTCAGACTTGATTAAGCATGGTGTTGATTGTAATTTATCACATTTTGATCCAAACAGTTTAAGTTTTATTTCACCGATTCAGTTGGCTGCTAGAACGAGTGTTTACAAATATGCTGCACTTCGTCTTCTTTATAGAAACCGTAATAGTCCAACGAAAATGCAAATTGAAAAACATTTAGCATTCTATTTCAATTATTATGACTCATCAAATAACGAAAACAATGATTTATTTCTTGAATTCACTATTTCTTGGCTTCTTCATACACGTATTAGCCAACATCTACCTGGAGAAATGGATATTATTAATGTAGCCCTTTGGAATTACGACAAAGTATTATTACATGGACGACAATTAAATACTGGATTGACGTATGATGAATTTCTTAAAGTACGTATATATACGTTGTTTCGATGGCTAGCGGAGATGAGGGCCGATAGTTCGTCAATACATAACTCTACAGCATACGCTATTATTGAAAATGAATTGTTACATCACTTAGAAGCCTATTATCTTTTACATGATATTCAACAAATCCCTGTAAAATTTACTAAAGATATGATGCATCCAAGATTGAATGAGAGAAAATCATTTAGATTTCTTGTATTGGAATGCTATAAAGACATTGCAAAAAATATCATCAGAAAAATCAAAGCACTACAACCAAAAGAAGAATATATAATTCCAACTGGTTGGCGTGGTCATGCCGTTTGTATTACATTTAGACGAGTCGATCAGACTTGTATTAGCATTCGCGTTGATAATCCCAGTCCGTTCAATCCACCAAATAGGCACAAAATTGAACCCATTGAATCAGGTATCCATCGAATTAGGTCGAAAGTATTGGGCCTGTTAGATGTTGCAAATTTAGATAAAAATATCAATTATTTCATGTTACTAGTCGATAGCGTGAAACGAGATTTAGATGCAAAGACAGGCATTCGACTTCTTTATAATTTTGGTCATAAAATAAAAGGTCTCGATCAAGGAGATGATGAAGCACCGACAATTGTTGAACAAGCATCTACCAATTGTGTAGTGAAATGTTTTGAACCAGGTTTACGAATACGTTGCGGTAAACAATATGAACAACTTTGTGAAACATTATTTAGGCAAGAAAAAATAACAATTATTGAATTGATAGATAGAGGCAAAAAATACTGGGAAGATTGTGTTAATAATTTACCGGATCGATTTAATCTGTTTAGAGACATAGATAGGATAAAAATTTTGCCGATAGCACATAATTTTTCTCTTGATGAGAGATTAAAGTCGAGCTATAAACGATGTTACCAACATATTTCAAATATTATTAATGAAGAATCTTCACATAGATTAGAAGAAACATTCATTGATCTAAGTTTTAAAAAAGAAGAAACACTCATAAGATTTGAAGATCTCTTTAGTAAATCTCGTATACTTATACTTGGAGAAGCAGGTTCTGGTAAAACAACAATATGTCAATATGCAGCATATTCTTGGGCTTGTGGAACTTTATGGCAAAATCAATTCGATTGGTTATTCTATATAAAAATGCGCAATTTAAATGAAAATATCTATCCATCAAGACAAGAAAACTACACATTAATAGATATTATTATCAATGAATGTTACAAGGAATCCACATTTATC